AATTAACTGGCTTCTCCAACAATTCTGGGAGGCCAGCGAAACAGACATCAGCAGCCTCTTGGCGCAGATAAGGCAACTGTCACCAGCAAATGGTGGGGCCACGCTGGAATGCAGGCTCTGTGTTAATTCCGTCATCCCAGGCTAGCTGAAGCAGCAATAAAAATAAAAAGAAGAATGTCAAAATGAGCCCAGTCTGTGCCTGGGCGCTATTTTGGTGGTAATGAATTCCGCACTGCAACAGTATTTCCTGCTGAGGGTACCATCTCTAATTTGGAAAGTAATCCCTAACGAACCACCTGGCATTGCCAGCCAGATGTTGTCTAGCCTCCCCTTTAAACAGATGTTCCCTGATCAGGGGCACCAATCTCTGTGGAATTTAACCACAATTTTCCAAGTGTTTTTGTTGGTTTAAAGCTGCAGAGCCCCTGTGACATCTTATGAGCAGCCCTAGATCGAAAACTAATAAAAAAATAGCTCAAAGCTGGTTGAAGCTGGAGTGGAGGTCCAGGGCCCCCCTGCCCCCACCCCGTTCCTGCTCTGGTTCTCTTCCCCCACTGGCTTGGTGACAGCGGGACCAAAGTGATCATCTGATAAGCCAGGACACCTGTGGGGTAGCACATCCCTCCTCCTCAGCAAAGGAGCAGGCGCGGCCTGGACAAATCAGAACCCCTCGGTCTGTTTGCTGGGCTCCAAAGAACACTGCTTCAAGCAATTATCAGGCCTGGGCCAGGGCCCTCAGAGGTGCTTCTAAATGCCCACTTCCATACCATGAACATCAGTGCAATCCAATTTTCTGCACATTTAAACTCCTGAACTCAGAGCATATTGGGAATTGGTTTAAGATATCAAAATTGAAACAATGTAACGAGACAGCACAAGCTACTTTTTTCAAGGAATGAAGAAGAAGCTATTATCTACACCTTAGCTATTCTATTGGTTTGCTCTCGGTGCTACAACAAATTTCCAAAGATTTCAAGCTGCCATCACTCTCATTTGTTCTGCTTGGACTACAGTGAACTTTTTTCAAAGGACACATAAAATTTTAATATAAAAAAATTCTTGATGTAGATATAATTCACACACCACACAACTCACCCTTTAAAAGTGTGCAATTCAGGGGTGTCTGGGTGGCTCAGTCGGCTAAGCGTCCGACTTTGGCTCAGGTCATGATCTCACAGTTTGTGAGTTCGAGCCCCACGTCGGGCTCTGTGCTGAAAGCTAGCTCAGAGCCTGGAGCCTGCTTTGGATTCTGTGTCTCCCTCGCTCTCTGCCCCTCCCCCGCTTGCGCACTAGTCTCTGTCAAAAATACACACTTTTAAAAAATAAAATAAAAGGGTGCAATTCAATGGTTCTTAGTACATTCACAAGGTTGTGCAGCCATCACCCCAAAAGGGAACTGCCCCTATTAAGCAGTCACTCCCCCATTTCCACATCTCCCCCCAAAAGACTCTGGCAACCAGTCATCTGCTTTTTGTCTCTATGGATTTTCCAACTCTGGATATTCCATATAAATGGGGCAATACAATATGTGGGCTTCTGTATCTGGCTTCTTTCACTTAGCATAATATTTTCAAGGTTTGCACTGCGAATTTTTTTTTTAATTTTTTTTAATGTTTTATTTATTTCTAGGAGAGAGAGAGAGACAGCGTGAGCAGGGGAGGGTCAGAGAGAGAGGGAGTCACAGACTCTGAAACAGGCTCCAGGCTCTGAGCTGGCAGTCAGCACAGAGCCTGACGCGGGGCTCGAACCCATGAACCGCGAGATCATGACCTAAGCAAAAGTCAGACGCTTAACCGACTAAGCCACCCAGGCGCCCCATGCACTGCGAATTTTTAAAACGCGGCTTGGAATGTTTTAGGTAATGTAAGAATTACTAACAGCTCGCTGGGAGCCAGGCACTGTGCTAAGCACTTCATTCATCTGTATTCATTCAATCCTCCTAACAATCCCTTGAAGTGGATGCTGTGGTTATCCCCATTTTACAAAATGGGGAAGCCAAGGCACAGAGCAGTTAAGGGGCTCAGCCCAGGTCACAGGAGCGCTGGGCAAGCTTGTTCCAAAGTGTGCACTCTCCCCCCCACTCCCTGTCAGATGGGCTACTTCTCTTTAACTGAGCAGGTACACAGCAGCAGGCGGCCTGCCTACATGTTCATCACACTTTTTCGGGGCCACTTTCCACATTTCTATGATCTGCCCCGTCCGTGAAGGTATGTTCATAACCCCTGCTTTGGTTATTCAGACAAACCTGAGTCTAAGTCCTAAACCTCGCTGGGCCACTCATTTGTCATCTGAGAAATGGATTACCACTGAGTTACTTTTCAAGGCTCTATACAAATGGCTCTTATAGACATAAGAAGAGGAAATGGGTCATACTGCCAAACTTTCAGGGTGGTTATGAGGGGTGAATGTGCTTGAGGCACCAAGGGCCTGGAGCATGGAAGGCATTCGGGAAATGGAACCTTGGTTACCATTACTCCCCACCTGCACCACTGTGTTTCCTCTCCCCACCACACAAAAGATCAGCTTCCCATTTCTGTAAGTGCATACAAGCAACATATTTGTCCTCAGAGGATCTTTCAGAACTGGTAAAATACAGTTAACTGAAAACCATCCAAAATTAGGACAGGGATGACTTGGCAACCAACCTTTTAAACTCCTGGGAGCCTGAAGTCTGTCTCAACTTGCCAGAGCCTGAAGGGATTTCACTAATCACGCTTCGAGTTTCTGTGTGCTGAGGGCTGCTGGTCTTTCTAGGTCACACATCACTACCAAGGACCGGGACCAGGAATACACTGGCTCTTGTGCAGGCCCCTGGGGTGCTCCAGGAGAGGCTGCAGGGGCCTAAGCACCTGCTGTGTTTATTCATTTCAACACAGCAGCTCTCACCCTGTAACTGTCTAGATATCCAGAGGAGACTAGCAATTCAAAGCCAATATTTGTCATCTTATTTTGCACAAAAGAGCCACAAAACAAGTTCCCTACCTTGAAGCAAAAGCCTCTCCCAGTTCAGTTCTCTTAATTACAATTCAAAATATCCCTAGGGAAAAAAGTCACTAAGTAGCACTCTTATCTGGGTGGGATCCTGGCTCAGTCTCTTCCAAGTTTTGGGACCAGGGATCCCTCCTCTGGAAGATAGGGATAATGCCTTACTACAAAATTGTTGGGGCAACTGAAAACAAGATATGTGAAGTGTCTGGCACACAGCAAGCACTCAGGAGGTAGTAGCTGGTGGCAGGGACACAGATCTGAGAGTGACACGCTCCTGGTCCCCTCAAAACGCTATCGTTAGGCATAACAAGGCCAAGCAAACCATGTGAAGTTCAGAGAACTTTCCCAAGGCAGAAGGGCACCCTCCAGGTGCTTATAAGCAAGGACTGTGGCATCAGACAAACCTGGGTTCAAATCTTTGCTCTGCCACCTGAGGCAAGTTACCTCACATTTCTGTGTGCCTCTTTCATCTGTAAAATGGTGCACTGGTTCGCAGACTCCTCCACCACCTCCTAAATCACCTAGTATGACATGTGATGTTGAAGACAGCCTCGAAAGGAGCATCATTTTTCTAATTTTTCTGTGCTCAGCCTTTCAAATACTCCCTATCGTTAGATACAAGTCAATCGATTGATTACACTGTTTCCCCCCAAATGCATCATAAAAAATTAAAATTGTTAACCCCTAAGAAGAATGAAACCGAAAATGCAAGAACTCTGTAACTTGCTTTATTTTTCTTCACCGCCCTAACAATATATTATGTACATTGTGAAGTCTGTCCTTGTTTTCTCCCCACACCACGACGTCAGCTCCAGGAAGACAGTCTTAGTTTTATTCACTGCTGCATCATGAGTGTCTGGAACAGAGCCTGGCACCTTTGTAGAATGTTGAATGGTTCTTTTTGTATCAAGCCCAGGAGGGCTGCCCACATGAGAAATATTTCTGCATCTTTCGCAAAACTGCCTTAGATTGTCTACTGTTTTCCACTGTGCCTTATATGTAACATAAATCTCACTAGCACTCAGTACAAGGACAAAGTTTTATTTTCGCTGAGCTCATGTTTTTCACTAGCTGAATTCGCCTTCCTTGTCAGGAAGCTCCGAACCCAACTCTGTACTTAATTACAGTGTTTTCCTCAAACCTTTCTCTGATGTGGAGACGGGATATAAATAAGTGTAAGAAGATTCTGTCTGTACACGTTGGAGGTCCTATTTTTAACCACAGACTGCATTTATTCTAAGATGCTTCTCAAACTTAAATATGCCTGCGAACTAACCGGGAATCTAGTTAAAACGCAGAATCAGACTCAGTAAGTCAGGGGCGGGGCCTGAGATACCGCATTCCCAACGAGTCCCAGGTGATGCCTACGATGGCCCCGTGGACCACACCTGGAGCAGTGCGGCTCTAGGACACTTAGTCCCTAGATTGGGCACCATTCCTCTCTCCTGCTCCTTGGCAAAAATTGCCAATGGCTAGAAAACTGGAGCGAGCACCAGAAGCACCTGGGGAGCTGGTTAGAGCTACACAGTGCTGCTCCCCCCATCCCGTCCCCGCAAATATTCTAACAAAAAGGGGTAGGAATTCGCCAAGGAGGCTCCCCGGGTGCTTTTGCTGCAGGTGGCCCCAAAACACATTTTGAGAAGTCCCGCTGAAGGGAATGAGTGTGCTCTCTTCAAGGTTTCCCACAGCAATCTCCTGGGGACAGCTGTTGTCACCGGTGGTGACACCTCTTTCAGGATTTTAAGGGAGGATTATCCCGCTGTTTCTAGCCCAGCACCAGGAGGGGTCCCGCTCCCTCCTCTCAAACCACAGGGATCGCGGCAAGGTCAGTCCCCCCCCCACCAACCCCCGGCTCGCACCCCCACTGCCCCGCCCACCCGCCCGCAGCCTCCGCCGCAGGCCTGCGAGGTGGGGGCCGGGCCGCTCATGCGCACCACGGGGCCGCGGGGCGCCGAGCCCCCGCCCCGCGGGCTCACAGGGCGGGGTCCCCGCGCGCCCCCCGCCAGCCTTACCTCTCTGGACCAGAGTGGCCAAGGAGAAAGCGAGGCAGATGAAGAACGCCGAGCGCCAGACCACCATGGCTGGAAGCGGGCGGAGGGGCCCAGGAGGAGCGCAGTTAGCGCGAGAGCGCCCGAGGGGGAGGTCGGGGAGGCGCTCGAGCGAGGAGGAGGAGCAGCAGGAGGAGGAGCCCCGCCGCCACTGCAGGGCCCCGCCCAGAGCCGGTGCGCGCCGCACAGTCCCGGGAGGGCGGAGGAGGAGCGTGCGCGAGCGCTGACGCTGGGTGCGCGCCGGGCTGGAGCCAGGTGCGGTGGGGCGTGGCTGCGGCTGTGGCGCGAGGGGCGGGGCGAGCCCGCAGTCTCGGGGGCGGAGCCGCCGCGCGAGGGGCGGGGCCGCAGTCTGGGGGCGGGCCCTCACCCTGGGTGCCGGCTGGTACGCGAGGCACTGGCCAGTGGGCACCGGCGGATGGGTCCGCCCGGGTTGCGGCGACCGCCAGCTCGTTGCCGGGTGCCCGAAAGGCCCTTCCCCCCAGTCCTCGAGAGTTGAGCCTGTGGGTCCGGAGCAGTGTGTCAACAGTGGCAGAGTAGCCAGAGGTGCGGGCGACCAGGGCGTGCAGTGATTTCCACTCGGTGCGCCAGACTCCTCCCGGCCGGGAGCGGACCCGAGGCGGCGCACGTGCCAGGTGCGCTCTGCCAGCCGAGTGACCTTGGACAGGGCTCTTCTCCTCTGGACTTGGCGTCCTCCCGGTAAAAGGCTGTTCCCTGGGAGTCCCTTCCAGCTGTGGCTGCAGGACGCAGCACCCGTGCTCTTTTCCCTAGTCGCGGCAGCTGAGCTTGCTTTTCACAATGACTGGCTGCCCGCCCACTCTCCGATCCCTGCAAGAAACTGTAGTGTAACCCCGTCCGGAGATGAAAGAAAAGGGCCGTTTTGGTGGCTGCCAGCTGTTGGCAAACAGCGGCATGTCTCGAGGAAATGAGCCCACCGCGGGGGCGCAGGGGCAGGCGGGGGGGGGGGGTCCCGGAGCCAGAGCGAACCGGGGCGGGGAGGGGGGGAGGCACAGGGTCAGCTCTCCCGAGGTTTTGATGAATGAGCTGAAAGCGCAAGTTCACATCTGCAGAGACGATGTGAAAACGTGCTCAATGATCGACAGACGCGCTGCAGTCCTTTCCCGTGAACCCCCGCAAACGGAGTCCATCTCTGGGGCTGGGCGAAATCAGATTCCAACACTGCCCTGAACCGCAAAATGCTCGCCGCAGCCTTTGACGTGAACACCCTCCAGAAGGGCTCCAGCTGCAGCCAGCTTTCCAGGACAAAGAGCTCCACTGCTCTCCCGAGTGGCAGAGCTGCGGCGTCGAGCCTGTCCCCGCCATTAGTCAGCAAGGGCTGCCCCGGGTCACATCCTCCTTAGAGGACCATCTACCCCCAGTGTGCCCCAGGCCGACTTCCTAGTCTCTCCACCCCTCGCCCTGCTCCGCCAGAACCTCCAGAGATACCACCACCACCAGTGGCTCCCGCCCTCTGAGCCATAGTAGGGGGCGGGGGTCTCCCTGACATAGACCCGACATCTTTTCCCTTATGATTTACATCCGTTGCTCTGAATGCTGGGGCTAGGAAAACAAAACATATAAGGAGTGAGTGGTTGTCCTGATTTTCAGGCAGTACTTATCCAATGACACTACCTACCTGGAGAAGTAACAAATAGCTAGTAGGGAACACACACTATATATACAACATATTCCAGACATTTCCCCCTTATTTTTTATTTCTCACAACTTCCTGCATCACCTCAATAATTAATGAAGGGAAAAGGAGCAAAAGCGGAGGTTGCTTGAGGTTGGGGAGTTAACCAGCTATGGTCCCACAGTGTCAACGAGGCAGGGAAACCACTAGGAACCCCAGTGAATGAATGGCTAAGAACGTGTGCTTTGCAGCCAGACAGAGTTGAGATCCTGGCTGCACCAATAAAGGTTATGGTGACGGTTATATGATATGAGAAATGGGTGACCTGAGAGACCATGAGCATAGAGGCATTCTTGTTAGTCTTGTAACAGCTTAAAAAAATAGTGGCTACTGTGAGGTTGAGCACTTACTATGTACTCCAGGCTGCAGATATGTCCCCAGTCTTTCCCACAACTCTGGGATGTTCCAGGCCATTCTCTCGTGCTCTGGCCTCAGTGGTCACATCTGTACCAGGAGGGCACTATACATGATAGTCTTTAAAGTCCCTGCAGGCTCTGAGGCGCAAACTCCAGCACCTACATACTCACCCACACTGGGAAGGCATGGGGAGGAGGTGAGGAAAATGCACTCACTGTGCAATAGACAGTCACACCCAAATGGAGCTCTACCTGGTAAATGTGCATGGAGATGCCTAAATCCCACCAGCAAAGCAGTGGCCACGGTATAATATGCAGGAAGGCTATTCTATAGTTCAGGGGTAGTTGTAGGCCAAATCCAGCCCGCCTGCCTATTTGTACAGCCTGGAAAAAAAAAAAAGTGTTTTTTTGCATTTTTCAATGGCTGAAAAGATCAAAAAAAAGGTTATTTTGTGACATGGTAAGTTACACAAAATGCAAATTTCAGGGTCCATGAAGGTGCTGGTAACAGCCACACCCATCCATTTCTGTATTGTCTATGGCTGGTTTTGTGCTACCATATCAGAGTTGAGTAGTTACAACAGAGACCATGGACCCTGCAAAGCCTGACATCTCTACCACACAGCCCTTTACAGAAAAAGTTTGCCAGCCTCCGTTTCAGCAGATTGAACTATGCCAGCGATGAATGTTAACAGGTGTGGCATGGGACCTAAAGAGTGTGCTCCTCCAAAGCACGGAATGAGCACACGACGTGACAACAACAATAAGAACCAACAGAAAAGGATGTTTACCATGTGCCAAGAGACACCCACTCAAAAAAAAAAAAAAAAAAAAAAAAAAAAAAAAAAAAAAAAAAAAAAAAAAAAAAAAAAAAAAAAAAAAAAAAAAAAAAAAAAACCACTAATCAAAATACTACAAGTGTCTGAGGTCAGTTAGCCTATCAGATAACTCTCCCTATTAAAATGATGCATCTGGGTCTGGCTTTTCTCTCAGTCTCATATGTTAGGTTAGTGTGAGTCTGAGAGGGCTGATGATATCAAGGCCCTGATCCTTGCCAGGCTGAAGTCCAGCCTGAGACTTAGTGAGCCTCTCGGTCAAGTAGCTGTTACTCTACTGCATTGCAATTGAACATGGAGTTGATTTACATTCAGGAAATTCTACACTTAGAAACCATGATTCTGTGTACCGACATCCTGTACCATATACACTTACATACACTTTCCACTATGAATGCTAGGATCAACTCCTGGCCATATGCCTGCCTTTTTTCCATACTAGCCCCTTGACCCCACCCTCCTGCTCCTCCTCACCCCTTCCTGAACTTCTTATACCCTTAAAATTGTCACCAGTTGGTAAGCCATTTGGCCTGATAAGCTCCTCTCCCCAAACACCCACCTATCCTTAGCTCTGACCCAGGCACAGAAGTGTGGCACAGACAAATGGCCACCAGGCTCATCTAGAGGTGCAGGAGAGTCACGAAGGAGGCTGGGACAGCTTCTACTAACCCAAGGTAGGATTCTGAGGGCTAGCCCCTCTTTCCGCCACTCCCCAATCTGCCCCCCCATCCTCATTGCACACCATATCCTTGGGATGACGAGTTCTAAATCCCAAACGGCTGTTACCTCACTGTCACTAGTTCAGGGTTGTTCCCGTTCTTGCTCCCAAATGCCAGAAACCCCTCCTTGTCATGTCCCCCAAGGGGGCCTCACTGACCCATGGCCAAAGTCAGCCCCAGCTGGTGGTACCAGTTCACCAGGGCCCTTGGAATGGCTTTGCCACCAGCTCTAGCACAGTTGAAGGTACCCATCTTGAAAGCACCACTGGCCATGTCAGGAATGCCACTTCCTGGGAAACCGACCCCCTGCCGATCTTTGGGGCACCAGAGTAGAGAGGGAGTTCATGTGCAGGCAGGGGCAGGGACAAAGCCCTTGCCCCAATTCCAGCTCACCCGTTGGTCCCTGGGACTCAAGACAGGTCAGCAGCATTCCTGGCTTCAGCAGCCCTTCCATAGCTTCCTCTCTCCTGCCATGGCCTGGGACCCTAATCCCTCAAACCAAACCAGGATGTGGGGCCCTGCTCCACGGCAGGTGGGAAAGGGAAACCACCCTCTCCCCTCCTGCTCCCCACTGTGCGGGCCGACTTGGAGACAAAGCCTCCCTGCATATCAAACAGCCAGCTGCAGGGAGGGGAGTGCTGCGGGCCACACAAGTTCCCAAGATGCCAGACATCACACCCAAGTCTTTGCCAGTCCCAGGCAACATAAGAAAAATGAGGTGGTTGTGGCAAGTTATCCCCCATAAAGTTAGAGTACTGTCCTTTACTCCAAAATCAGGGATTTTTGCATGGTATACAAAAGTCCTTTATATCCCGAAGAGATAATAGTGTTTTGTTTAATGTGCTTATTTTGCCGAATAAAAAGTTAATAATCCTATCTGTCCCTAAATTAAAAGAAAGGAATGTGGAGTGCCTGGGTGGCTCAGTGGGTTAAGTATCTGACTTGATTTTGGGTCACGTCATGATCTCCCGGTCCCAGTCCCGTGTCAGGCTCTGCATTGAGCACAGTGCCTGCTTGAGATTCTCTCTCTCCTTCTCTCTCTCTGCGCCTCCCCAACACTAGCTTGCACACGTGCTTGCAAGTGCTCTCTCTCTCTCAAATAAATAAATAAATAAATAAATAAATAAATAAATAAATAAATAAATAAAGAAGAGAAAAGGAAACATTCTTGTCAGTGAAATTCACAAGTCTGGGAACCACCAGCAATATTCAGCCCACCCAGGGCCCTGATACATAGGAAATTTTTAAAACATACTCCATGTAAACAGAAGCGCTGAAAATGGATTCTGAAAGAATGTTCCTTCACATTTTTTTAGTTGTAAGCAAATTACCCCTCCGTCTCCTCTACCTCTCCACAGCATGCTTCTTCTCTCCTGGATTTTATAGTAAGGCAAGGTCAGGCAGAGCCTTGAATGCCATGCTAATGACAAAGATTTGGTCCTGAAAACAGAGGGAAGCCACTTAAAGGGTTTTAAGCATGGCAGAGGGACAAGGAAAATTGTCCACAGGAATGGCTGCTGGCATTATCCAGAGGGAGAGGCTGGGAGCAATGGACCTGAAGT